TGTATTAATCAAAATGGATGAGATATCCGTAAATATTCGTAAATATCCGCAAATATCTATTTATTTTCCGGATATCCGTTTTTCCGGATATCCGTATTTTTTCGAAGCAAAGCAAATACCAAAATTAGATATCCGTAACACTCGAAGCAAATCACAAATATCTTAAAAAACCCGGATATCCGATCCGTGTCCACCCCTAGTTGCAATTCATACATAGACGTTACATTGTTGACCAACTTCTGATGATATATGGTTGGCCCATTCAATTTATGTTTTTGTTTCTCCTGTGAATAATATTATTTATATTAAAAGTAACACAGACTGATATCGTAATTAAAAAAGAAAACTCTACGTGCAAATTGGAAGACTTGAAGGAGTGGAGATCTTTATTTGATCTATAAAGATTAAAGAATATTCATTTTTTTGGTTTCTAACTTTCTACTTAAAGGAAACTACTGATTAGTTTTAAAATGCGTTTACTCCAAAAGAAAAAAGCGTTTACTCTAAAAAGTAGAGGGTAGAGTAATGTGGGAGTTACGTCCAGACAACAAAATAGGCAAAGACGTAGAGTTAGTGGGGATCGTTTTAGGAATGTGCGACCCATTCTTGTTAGGAAGATCTCACCCGTCCATTTCTATTTCAAATCTCAGCCACGAGTTACTTTTCCCTTTGGTTTTTGACCCAAAAAAAATAAACTCTCTCATTTTTATGTTCCACAGATCCAGCACAATATGATACCCTTTTCAAAAATTTCCATGTAACCTTCTGAAGCTAGTTGTAAAATTATAGATTTAGAAATGTAATATTAAGATGTTAGATAGGTTACTACATGCTAGTTTTCTTAATATATTCTCTCTCATTTTTGTATAATGAATTTAGTATATACAAAATAAGAGTGAATCAAGTTAATAGTTTGTCTAGTGTCTGATAATAAAGTTTGACTAGTTCTAAGCTAATTAGGAAAATGGTTTGTCCTAACGTTATTTATAGGAAGAAAGTGATTATGAAGTGATAGAGCCATTGCCTTCATACGGACGAGGGAGAGACACAGATGGTGGAAGATTCATCAGTCTACTATTCGGTTCAAATAGACGTGGTTATTACCGGTTAGTAGTACAATTAGTACCAAATTTACTGAAGTATCCAAAAATTCCCTAATTTGAATTTCGATTTTGGAATTGAAAGGTGAGAACGGGACTATTGATGGACAAGGAGAGCCATGGTGGGGGAAATTCAAGAGAGGAGAACTAAAATACACAAGACCATATTTGATTGAGATTATGCATTCTAATAGCATCCAAATCTCCAATCTCACTTTCTTGAATTCTCCTTCTTGGCACATTCACCCGGTTTACAGCAGGTAAAATCTAAAACGATTTGACAAACTCGGTTATCAAATTATAAACCGATTTTGCTAATCTTATTTGAACATGTGCAGCAACATTGTTATCCAAGGTTTGACCATATTAGCACCTGTCACCGTACCAAACACGGACGGGATCAACCCAGGTACAAATCATACGGATAACCGGTTTAGTAACATCTGTCTGAAACTCAATCCGGTTTATTTTCAGATTCTTGCACGAACACGAGGATAGAAGATTGCTACATTGTCTCCGGCGACGATTGTATCGCCGTGAAGAGTGGATGGGACCAGTATGGAATCAACTACGGCATGCCTACGAAACAGCTCTTGATCCGACGGCTCACATGCATTTCACCTGATAGTGCTGTGATCGCTCTCGGTAGCGAGATGTCAGGTGGTATTGAAGATGTTCGAGCTGAAGATATCGTAGCCATTAACTCTGAGTCTGGAATCAGGTACGTAATCAAAAATACACCGGTTTGGTTATGTTTGGTTAGATTAAACCGGAATAAAACATGCAGGATTAAAACAGCTGTTGGACGTGGAGGGTACGTGAAGGATGTGTACGTACGAGGAATGACGATGAAGACAATGAAGTATGTATTTTGGATGACCGGAAGTTACGGTTCGCATCCGGACGAGCATTATGATCCAAAAGCGTTACCGGTTATTCAGAATATTAATTATCAAGACATGGTCGCAGAGAACGTGACCATGCCGGCTCAATTAGCTGGAATAACGGGAGATGAGTTTACTGGGATATGTATCTCTAACGTGACCATCACGCTTTCGAAGAAACCTAAGAAAGTGTTTTGGAATTGTACTGATGTTTCTGGTTATACAAGTGGTGTGACTCCGGAGCCGTGTCAGCTGTTGCCAGAGAAGCAGCCGGGGACCGTTGTGCCTTGTAACTTCCCAAAGAGTCCCCTTCCTATTGAGGAAGTGAAACTACAACGTTGTAACACCAGAAGAAGGCACATGTGAAGATGAAAACGTTTTGTTTTATTTTATTTTACAAATATGTTTCTTGGATTAAGTAAACTTTTTATCAAAATGGGATGGACTTTATTGAATATTATACAAAAGTTTTTTTAAATATTCTTCATGATCATTAGAGGATATATAAAGGAGAGGCTTAACGTGAGACCCAATTAACCAGAGAAGTGTCATCAGATCTGCTGACACCGGAATGATGCAAAGCAAAACCCTGCAAGTAACAATACCTAAAGAATGTCACGAGAAGCTACAAAAGTTTCTTGAGATTAGGATGACAGTTTCAGGTTATGGAAAGACCTTCTGAAAGAAATTTGAATGTGTCGAACTCTGAAACCTGACCAGATTTTCAAGAGATCTTAAGTTGAGGAACACTAGATTAGCGTGTCCTTTCAGGCTCAGAGATGCAAGACCATTGGACATCTCTGTGAAGCTTCCAACGCTGCAAGGCCAAGGTTTAGAGATTGTAAGAACGAATTTAGGGAATAGAATAAGTCATTATTGAAGGATTTGATTGTTGCTATTGCTGCTGTCTCCTGTCGAATGTCGATGCGTCAGAGTATTCTCTATGACCAAATGACCAGTAGTTTTATTAAGAAGGTTCTTCTGCCTCTCCCGATTTGCAAACAAGTCCTTAACCTTGATGATGATATCACTGACGAACACTGCATCAGAGCTGCAAAAAAATAATACAAATAGCAGTGTTCTAAAATGCCTTAGGAGCTTGCTAGGTTAGGCAGTAGACAGCTCTTTAGCGTCTATACTAGGTTAGGACCCGCGCCTTGCGCGGAATGAATATTATTTATTTTTTACATATTATAAAATAATAAATATATATTGATAATCAAAAATATAGTAACTATTACATATATAATTAAATTGGTATAAACATATAAATATTTTTATTAATTTAAACAGATTTTTTTCTATTTTATATGATATATAATTAAGTTTAAATGATATTATCGTAGAAATATAATAAATTTGTAATATTGATATCGGTTAAATTATAGTTTATACTCATATTATTTTTTTGTTCATTTTTATATTTTTATAACAAAAATTTTAAATCACTACTAACAATTTTTTTACGTGGGATTTAACACTTTTTAGTAATTTATAATTTAAACATTATGCAAAGTTTAAAACTAAATATTAAGCTGTCAATAGTTGTTCAAAATTTTTATCAAAAAAAAAATTAGAAATTAAAATACATATATATTTTTATATGGTACATAATTTAGTTTGAACAATATATATATACGTATATATTAAATGAGACTTCTTACTTATATAGTTTTGTAAACATTTCTATTTTGTCATAAAAGAAAATTTAGCCATAGATCACAGAAATTTTAATGTGAGACTTTTTAACAACTTTAGTCATTTACAGTCGTTTTAAAAAATTCAAATTACAACATATACAAAAAATCTAAATTTTTATTATATAGTTAATGTAGTTGTTTAATTTATTTTAATAAGTTAAAATTTAAAAATACACTAATTTTTTTCAAATCTTATTATTGAAAATCATTAATTGTCATAGATTCTTTATCCATATTTGGCAATTCCGTTATTTTTATTTAAGAAAACAATGAAAAACATTAATATTTATGATTAGTATAATAAAAAACTTATTATATATTTAGATGGACCAGCATATTTTTCTAAGGATTTTAAGAATGATTGTGGTGATGACACGTGGCTACAAAAAAATGTTGTAATGCTTCTCCTTTAATATATAGAGGATTAGTAATTTATAATTTAAACATTATGCAAAGTTTAAAACTAAATATTAAGCTGTCAATAGTTGTTCAAAATTTTTATCAAAAACAAATTAGAAATTAAAATACATATATATTTTTAGATGGTACATAATTTAGTTTGAACAATATATATATATATATATATTAAATGAGACACTTCTTACTTATATAATTTTGTAAACACTTCTATTTTGTCATATAAGAAAATTTAGCCATGGATCACAGAAATTTTAATGTGAGACTTTTTAACAACTTTAGTCATTTATAGTCATTTTAAAAAATTCAAATTATAGCATATACAAAAAATCTAAATTTTTATTATATAGTTAATGTAGTTGTTTAATTTATTTTAATAAGTTAAAATTTAAAAATACACTAACTTTTATCAAATCTTATTATTGAAAATCATTAATTGTCATATATACTTTATCCATATTTGGCAATTCCGTTATTTTTATTTAAGGAAACAATAAAAAATAATATTTATGATTAGTATAATAAAAACTTATTATATATTTAGATGGACCAACATATTTTTCTAAGGATTCTAAGAATGATTGTGGTGATGACACATGGCTACAAAAAAATGTTGTAATGCTTCTCCTTTAATATATAGGGGATATCTAAACTGAATCTAAACAGATGTATATTTTTAAATATATAATATATCTTATTCACATGAATTTTTTTATATATACCATTTTATTAAATCAAAAATATGTATCTAATATAAATAGTAAATACTTATGCATAAAATATAACTAACAAAAATTAATACTTTAAATTCTAAAAAACCAACATATATATATATATATATATATATTTTTTAAAATATATATATATATATATAAAGATAAGTAAACATAAAAAAATTCCCAAATAAATCAAATTAATAGATTTATATACATTAGATAAATATTATAAATAGTAGTTGTACAATATATAATTATACTAATATTTTAACTTTTGAAGAAAGAATGTTACCACATACGCAAAGACATTGAAGATGTAAGATGTCCGCCCTGAAGTCGCTGACGTAGTTGGTGAGGCAGACGTCGTGTTGAGTGGTGAAGACCATGTGGAGTCAAGATGCTAAGCTGGAGTCGTGTAGACTTGGAGAGCAAGGATGTATCTTGGAGAAAAGGCAAGAGGAATAAACTTGAGGAGCAAGTTTATGACTTAAAGAAAGAGGAATAAGTGCATTTCAAGAAAAGGAAAGTTGCACTTAATGTTATGGAAGATGTTCATATTGTGTTCCGTGGAGACTAGGGTTTCAGGAACGTGGAGAATAAGTATAAGACAGCAAAAGGGTCGTCTGTAGAGAGATAGAGACACAAAGGCTAATCTTATAAAGAGAGAGAGAAGCTCTTAAGGTGTTCTTGGGTCGTGCTGAAGCAGAGGCTGAAGTACTTGACGGCAGAGAGACATAAGTGAGTAGCTTAGGAATCTTTCAGTGACGTGTGTTAGGGTGTTAACACTAGACGTGTAAAGCTGATTAAGCAGATCTTGTAATAGAGTGTACAAGGTGATTTCTAATAAAGCTATTGGTATTTTGTCTCTTGATTTATCTTCTGCATTAACTTATTGTGGTGTCATCTTTGCACTTACAAGTGGTATCAGAGCGGGCACCTAAGTTACCGGTGTAATCCTGAAGGTGAAGATGGACACGATTGTTACGATGCAGAAGGTAATCATGTTGAATGCGGACCAGTATGGTCATTGGAAGGCTCGCATGAAGCAGATGATTCGAGGAATCAATGAAGATGCGTGGACAGCTGTGGAGATTGGTTGGGAGGAGCCCACCATAGTCACAGGAGATGAGAAGAAGCCTAAGCCAAAAGAAGATTGGTCAGAGGTAGAGCGCAGTGCATCAAAATTTAATGCAAAGGCGTTATCGGTGATTTTCGGAGCTGTTGAAGCAGAACAGTTTCAGCTGATTCAGGGGAGTATTTCAGCTAAAGAGGCGTGTGAGATCCTGCTGAATTCGTTTGAGGGAGATGAGAGTGTCAAGAGGACACGCCTAGATCATCTTGGGTCGCAGTTTGAGAATCTCAGATGGTCGGATGCTGATTCTGTGGCGAGCTTTAGTGCCAAACTCAGTGCTATGGCGCATGAAGCATTTGTACTTGGGAAGAAGTACAAGGAGAAGAAGCTGGTAAAGAAGTTACTACGCTGTCTTCCAAAGAAGTTTGAAGCTCACAAGGCAGTCCTGCAGATGACTACCAACACGGATGAGCTCAAGTTTGATAAGCTTGTGGGTATGCTGAAGGCACAAGAGATGGAGACAGATAGTAGTTCAGTCTCTACGTCAAGCAGTGCGCCAAGGAGTATAGCGCTTGCAGCTGACAAAGATAGTGATAGATTCCAGAAGCTTGAAGATACTGTGGGTATGTTGGCTAGGAATTTTGGTTGGAAGATTCATTCTGGTGGCAGAAATCAGTATGATCGTCAAGGAGGTGATCATGGCAATGGTAGAAAAAGAGACTTTATCAAGTGCTACGAGTGTGAAGGAGTTGGTCATGCGAAGGCTGACTGTCCTATGGCACAACGAAAGAAACTTAAGTGTTCTGAGTGCAGAGGTGTTGGACACACAAGGCGCGAATGTCCAAACTCAAAGAAGAGAAAAGGAGCTCAGTCGTCTGATGATTCAGAGTCTGAAGAAGATGAAAAAAGGTGTTGAAGAACATGGTTGCATTTGGTGCACGCAAGAAGGGATCTAGTGAATCCACTGATTCAGATCGCAGTACAGATGATGAGGAGTATCATGTGCTGCTCAACAAGTGGTTGACGGTCAATGATCAGAATCTGAGATTGGAGAATGTCGCTCAGAAGCAAAACTAGTTGCTTGAAGAACTTCGTGAGGAACTTGCTGCTGTAGAAGAGAAGAATGAGTCTCTTGAAGAGGAAGTTAGCAAACTGAGAAGAGTTGCTACTGGTGAACAAGAGAGAGCAAGGAAGCTGGAACGTGATTTGGCTGAGAATCACAAACAAATCAGAATGCTCAATAGTGGATCCAAGGAGTTGGATAAGATACTCTCAATGGGACAACCAGCCAAGGCAAATTGGGGACTGGGATACCGAGGAGGTGAGAGCACTGGCGTACAGCAGAAGGGGCGGTCACAGTTTGTGCAAGGGAGCATTTCAAAAAGTGAAGCCAAAGATGTTTGTCAGGAAGTACGTCGGGACGTACGACAAGGAGTACGGCATGAAGTTCTACAGCGCGTGGCTGTGAGTAACAAGCCAAAAGTGGTACATCAGTGCAGCAACATGAAGGTCAGACAGGAGGTTCTGAAGCATGGT